CTTGAAACATGTGAGACTGTTTAACTGCTGACTAACACCATCAGTCAGAAGCTTCGGAAAGAAATCACGAAACCCACCGATCTGTCAGGACCAGCCATCGTAGAGTTTGCATTCGTTTTCTGCGTCTCGCTACGTTCCACGGGCGGATGGAGAGGATCAGAAATCCCTTAGTCCAGTGGGCCCATCGTTTGGCGCTTGGTTTGCTGATTTGGTCCTTTGTTCTGGTCCTGTTCTGGTCGGGCGTTTTCTTCTTTGTTTCTTCTCGGCCTCTTGCTCCTTCAAGAGTAGTCTATTGACATCAACTGATGGTCTTGGGGTGTTTCGTGCATTTTGCGAAAAAGCGCGAGAGTTGTGTCATGAACGCTTTTTTTGTTGCTGCGACTTCCACAGATTGCCTGTGTTTTTTGCTTCGCTCTGGGGGGGGGCGCTGCTCCCGTCCAGACAACCTCCCATCTAGCAAACCTGCACTACTTCCAGAGCATCGCACTTGCCGCGAAAAACGGCAATCTTTGGAGGTCGACCCACCATTTACACCCAGCTGGGGGAGATGCTGCGCCCTGCCCTACTTCTTCCAAAGCATCCGCCTTGCCTGCCACAAAAACCCAAATTTAAAGGTCAATCCACTGTATGCCTCCTGCAATATAGAGCATTTCCATTCAAAACTGCTTCTTCATCGCTTTTACTTTTCTGGTTTCTTTGCCTTTCGTCGCCCCGCTATCCTTTTCTTGTTTCCTTTTTGGGTGTTTATTTTTCATGTCAGCACTCACATGAGAGTACAATATGAGAGCACACACACACACACATGAGAGCGCACATGCACCAAACATCTAGCTTGACACAAAATCTGCAATCTGAGATTCACAAGGTCTGCGCCTCACAGGAGTGTGCATACACCAAATGATCTGCACATCAAGGTGCAAAGTGCTGCGCATGCCACGAAGTTTGCATTTTGAGGTCCACCATGTGCTGCGCTTGCCACAAAATTTCACTTCGAGGTCCACCAAGTGCTGCGATTGCCACGAACTCTACACATTAAGGTTCAAAATTGTGCCTGCTACGAAGTGCACAGTTTTTTCCTGTTCCTTTCCTTTTGAACATCCCCTTGAACATCCTTGGAATATTTATTTTGATGTCGATCCTAGTATTTTTTCCACTTTTGGATCCCTCACCAGCGGATGGAGCCAGGATGGGCTAGAGCTGCTCATCACCGAGCTGGCACGGATTCCTGAAGCTTTGGCACCGAAAGGGACCCAGATTTTGGTGCCGGAGCGCCTGCGAGTCGGTGTCTTCCGCCGTGGCAGAGTCGGTAGAACTTCCGCGCCCCATGGCCCATGGCTGAAAAGCACTCTTTATAGTGGTCTCCAAACAGACAGAAATGGTTTCCAATACTTATTGAACGGATTTTACTTTTCCATCTATTTGGGGGTCTCTTTATCTCTTTCTTTTTCCGAGAGGACTTTTCTTGGCTGCTCGACTTGGCTGCGTTTTTTAGTTGCATTCGTGCCAGCGCATCAACCTTTGAGGTTCATGCGAGATGGTTGAAAGATCCCCTTTGAGGTCCCTTGAGGATTGCATGAATTGGTATGACTATGAGTATGATCATGTAGGACCCCAAAAGTACCAAAACTGAGCAAAAGACCAGTCACTCCTCAGTCCACTGGTAAATATTATATATATATATATCCATGATTCAAGAGGCATTCGGAAAAATTTGGTGCAGGAGTACCTCGCCCAAAGCTGTGCTGCCGAGGAGCTGGGAACTGGGCATAGCACATGAAGAGTGACCATCTGTCTTGGAGGGCTGCCCAAACGACCAATACATAGCTACCAGCCTATATAAAGGAGTTTCGACCAGGTTTGGGCGGTTTTTCAAACACCAGGCTTTGGATGGCTTTTCGTTTGTAGGCTCTGAAATATGGAGCCTCAGATGCAGCGGTAGTGGCTGGACCTTGTGAAGGCGGTCTTTTCGTTGCAGATCGAGCTGGTGAAAGCGTTTTCTGCAACAAGGTTCGCTACGAACGTAACAACATGCATTGCTACGAACGGAGCAAGAAGCTACTAGTAGCTCCTGGCATTACAACTACTAACAAGAAGCTAATTACTAGTAACAAGGTTCAGTGAAGAAGACCATTGAACGCGCATAGAACATGGACCAATCTCATGAAACCATCCCATGGGGCCTGATGTCGAAGGCGAGCAGCTCTTGGTCATTGAAGGATCCGTGCCCGTTGACAGCTCAGATTGCCATTCGACGTGCGGACGGTGCCAGAGTTGTACGGTGGGTGCCAGGGTCGTGACCCACCTGGAGCGGCCCTCCATGTAGGCCCACGTCGGCAGGTCCAAGGTCTCCTGGTGCGACCCACCAAATATGTGGAGGTCTCACTCCCCACTGACTTCAGGCACGCACAACAGCCGCCGCAGCCGTGACGGCCCTCGTCGCCCGACATTTATACCGCCGGGGGGGCCCAGGCACTGACGGTTCTCGTGCCTCGTGTGTTGCTATCTGGTACTATTTGTTGCTACTTGTTGCTACACGTCTGTTTTTTTGGTTTGGATGTCTCAAAACCTCAAGAAAGGTATTTTTGTTGCTACATGGCGTGTCTTTCTACCGAAGCTTTCTCACTTTTATGACCGGTCTGACCGGTCAAATTAACATTTACTCATCGTAGACTCTAGACTAGGTATCTTACGACATTTGCCCGTGGGCTACCTGGGCCCTTATTCTTTCGGTATGAATCAGAATCAGCAGTGCATTCAGTGTCATTCACTCCTCCACTCAGCAGAACATGGCAGAACAGGGTCAATTGGCAAAGGCTTTGCTCAATCGTTTTCCAATCAAAAAAGCCGCCTCTTCGGTCCGAGTCGATGTCCGGGGTGAAAGACCCGAGGAGTGGGACAGGTAGCCCCTCATCGACTCCAGGCAAAGCAACTGGGCGCAGGAAACATGGAGACTCCGGGCATTTTGATCAGATGAAAACCAGACTCTGTTGTAACTCTCATGCCTGTCGGGCCAGTTTTCTTTCAGGTGGTCGCTTCTGCGAAGACCCCGTTGGTCGCCACGAACACGCGTGCGGCCAACTTGATCCCGTGGAACTTAGACTGCCAAGGTGGGTCAGATCCGACTGCCATCGACTGCCCATGTTTAACTTGGAAACATCTTGATTTGAGAAGTTGATGAGTCAAACAGGTGGCAGGTCTGTTATATTTTTACAAAGGCTTTCTCAGTGCTTGCGCACGCACGCGACTGATCCTCGCGAGAACAGTGCCCGGTGTTGTTTCGGTCAGCTTGGCCTTTCAGCAAAAACACAGCTGCAAGTAAGAGAGCTTTTCAACGCTTGCAAAGAAGCAGCCGTAGTAGGTCCAAAAAACAATTCTCATCAGATTTAGCTTTTCACTGAAGACGCCTGAGCGTTGCATGATGCTTCAACAAAAACTCGGAAGTTCTTTCCTAGCTTTTGTTCCAGTAGGCTGAGCTCACTTAATTAAGCGGCCCGCATACCTTAGCACCTCAACAGATGGCATTAATGACACCAGCTGCCAAATAGATATATAGAGCGACCTCGCCCTGGGGGGTGGCGTTGAGTCTTATGGGCCGGCCGCGTTGCTGCATCTGGAGGAGCAGGTGTAGCGCCAAGCAACAAGCGAGCTGTGGCAGTTGATCAGGTTTGACCAAGGAACGAGCTGTTGTAGTGGCCGGTTTTACCAATACTCGTTTGTATTCGAGAATGGCATTGACACCGGAGAATGGCCACAAACCTCAAAACCTTTAAATGCCTTCAAATCTCCAACACGCTACGTACAGGCACTTTCGCCATGAACATCAGATGTTGAAGACTGGGTTTTGCTGAATGCGGGAAGTGCTGGCCATTTCGCTTGGACCGCAAGGTTCGGAGGCTTGGCCACTGTGGCCAGGGTCGGTCCACGTGTCCTTCTCGCACGAGGCCTCTCCGAAAGCAAAGCAGCATAAAGCAGCAAAAGGCAGCAAAAGGCAGCACAGCTATATACATAAGTGTACCAGGATTGAAACCATTGTGTGCCTTTCTCTGAAAAAAAAGTCATAGTGAAACGATTCTCAGCAAAGGAAATACATCTTGATGGGAACCTATGGAAGCAGACCATCGGAACGAAGTAACATCGCTACTAGTAACAAGGGCATTACTACTAGTAACAAGAAGCTGCTAGGAACAAGGTGCATCGCTACTAGTAACAGGTGCATCGCTATTAGCAGCAAAAAGCTACTAGTAACATATGGTTTGGACCAGGGAACGGATCTTCCAGAACCTGGTGTTCGAGCGTGCGCCCGGGAACTCAGTGCAAAAAACGTGCAGTTTGGAATAGCGATGGCGACTAGTATATAGTAATGCCGCCCTTGTTTCTAGTAGCTTCTTGCTACTAATAGCGATGCACCTGTCACTAGTAGCGATGCCCTTGTTACTAGAAGCTTCTGCTGGGAGGTCCATCTCCTTTGTCTCATTTTTGTCTCTTCAATTGAGCTTATTCGTAACTGAAACGCCGTTTACCTTGACCAAGGTGCTCACATGCCAATGCCAAAGGCTGGAATGCAGGGCTTGTGGTGGTTGTGGTAGCTCTGTCACCAATACCGCTCTCCTTTTGCATAACGACGATCCGGTGCCAGGGCCCCGCTGCCAGTGGTAAGCCTGGAGTGCTGGGACTGAGGCGATCTGGTGCCTGCACGGTGATTGACGGTGAATCGGCAGTTTTTTTGTTTTGGAAGGGCCTCCAACCTACTAGCGATGGGCTGAGCAACATCGAACTTTGAAGCTTAGGCTTAAGCTCTGCCACTTCTTGCCCGTCACAGATACAAGGACTTGAACGATCCAGTCACATGCTTGAGCAGAGAAGCAAAGTAAAACTCCACCGGAGCATAGGTTCTACGCTACTCTGAAACAATTTGCATGTGTACACGCAAAACATATGATGGAGAAACGCTTGAGAACAAGGAGTGCGGTGCAATGTTCTTCAAAGAAGAAGCTATTTCAGTTAGCCCAACCACAACGGACCGCTGTGGAGCTGGGTCGCCATGGCGGAAAGAAGCTATTTCAGGGATGACGTCCTTGAAGGCCAAGCAGGATGACCATATTAAACGCCTTTGACAGGATAGCATCTCAGCAACAGCAGAACTTCCCTCCAACTATTCATGGCCAAGTTATCACCTAAGAGGCATTCAAGGTTTGTTGCATCCTGAAACGAAGGCCAAGAAGGGCAGTTCAGGATAGCACACATTTTACACGCCCTTTCCTGGATTCTGTTCGAAGCCTCCGCCTGGAATCACCCAAGCAAGTCAGTGGTTAAGAATAGTTCAGAAATGTTACACTATTATGAACAATGCTGCTTTAGGCCATAGGATGATGTCTTGCTTCAACGCCCACCCGTGGGAGGAGTGCCTCCCGCGCTCCAGGTCGCGTGGCCTTGATCACCGGTGGCGGAAGTGGAATTGGCTTCGAAGTGGCACGACAATTTGGGCTACATGGCTGTAAAGGCCGACACATCACATGACGCCTGTTTTTTTGGCGCACCATGTGTGGCATCAGCGTGATGAACTTGGCAGCCTGCAGGTGTGGTCTTGATGGGCCGAAGGAAGCAGTTTCTGGACAAGGCAGTGGAACTCCTGAAGAAAGATAATATTCAGGCTGTGTGACTTAGCTGAAAGGAATGTTGTGTGTTTTCTTTTTTTTAAACGTGTTTTTCTTCGCAATCACGGATTCACGCGACAATGCCCTCGGATGAAGATGTGTGGAAGCATTTGCAAGGGTCCAGAATCACCCGTACATACCCCACAAGGAAGCCAGTCAACATGGGATGCGCAGGTGCTTTGCAGGAGATGTGCGGAACTCAGAAAACTGCAGCGCAGCCGTGGCACTGGCCGTGGAGACGTATGGTGGACTGGACGTTCTGGTCAATGCTGCTGCAGGCGAAAAGGGATATTACATGATACATATCGATTGACTCCAGTTCCTTCAGCAATCCCACGGGCAAAGCACATGGGGTTCAACTGACCGCTGGTTTCTGTGATGGGCTTGGTGAGTCAGTGTGTGTGTGTGTGAACGGACAGCAAACATCTGACTTCTCCCAATGGATTTACCGTGGCTTTAAACCCTGAGATGATTTGAGATCTGCAGGCAACTTCCTTGCAGCTGCAGAGGAAATCTCTGGGAACGGTTTCAAAGCGGCCACTTGACAATTGTTATTCGTATGATATATATATATATCTATATCTATATCTATATACAGTATACAGTATATATATATTATATGATGTATGCTGTCCTTGGACGGACTCACCCAACAGACAAAGCCGCGCAAAAACTTTGTTCTTGTAGCTTCTCGTTCAGTCCCGCTTTCAGGATTGGTGGGGATTAGCTGCCGCATTTTTTCAGGGCTAAGCCCTGGTGTTCGGACGTATTGGACGGAGTGTCTTCGCCGTAATGGTTTACCATCAGCTAAGGAAGGAGCACTTTGTGTCCACAGCTAGTCCCAGTTTTTGCAAGAAACATGCAACACACCCGATGAAATGCAGGATTTTGCTGGTTGAACGTGCGAACTCGTTCGTGGATTTGCTTCATGGTTCCAAAAGGCCGCGATAAGGATACGCGTGAAGTCTGAAGCATCGTGAAGCATCTTGCTCTCCCCGGTGCCATGGTCTAACTTCACCCTCAGCAACGGTCTGAAATGTCAATAATGCGAAATGGGATGAACATGTCATGATACACATACTGACTATTCATTTCGGGGATACAACTTTGACTCTTCATATCCAAGAAATCCTTGCACAGAATTGACCCAGATGCAATTGATGGATCGGATATGATCGCTGATATTCGTTTGCATCTCAGCGGTACTTGCACCGAACTGCAACTTTAGCATCCAAAACATATGCTTAGAAAGATCAGACGCGTTCAGAGGCGCTTTCTATGTTTTCCCCGAGATCATGTCAAGGTGATGGACATCGATGCAGTTGGCACCTTCAATGTGACGCGTGCGGCCTTTGAAGCCTTGCGACAATCACCGTACGGTGGCGTGGTGAAGCTGGGCGTCGTGAAGCGAAGAAGACGCGTTGTGACCTTTTTGTTGGGGGAGGGGGCCAGGCCGTGGTAGTGGCAGGGTAGGACCAACGTAGTAAAGTCGGCTCAGGACCAGCATTACTGCAACGTTGCACTATACGGCGACCTGGTACCAGACTGCGCCCGTCGCAGCCAAGGCCGATACATGCACAAGCTATTCCAGCATGTCTGATGGGAATCTTGCGCATACACTCGAAAGTATAGTATGCACGTGAACATGCAGATGCCAAGCAAACTTCAATACACCAGCCCTCATCATGCTTCAACCGCCTTGATTCGTTGTTTCCAGGCTGCCATCGATGCCATGACTAGAGTCTTGGAGAATGAGATGACGGACCCAAAGGGAAGGGTGGGGACAGCGTGGCTGATCATGAAGGCTGGCATTGGCAGGCCGGAGTTTCGCTGGCATTGAGGGGATGAGACCCTACATCATCATCAGTGGCTAGACTGCCGGTTACGCCCAGCAGATCTGACCAGTCGTTTTCCATCCACACATGTCCCGTGAAGTCCTTTCTCCACCGGCCTTCTTGAAGCGAAACGAGCTCGAAAAGCCTCCTCCACTCCCCATTTTGGAGCAAGAAAACGCACGTCACCAGACATCCTCTTTACAGAGCTCCAGAAAACACCGTGTAGAGCACCCAACTCTCCAACTCTCCCACTCTCTGGCCTCGCTCGTGGCCACCTCCACGCGCATCGAGGAAACCTGGCCCTGGAGTGGGGCGAGTTCGGCCTCCGCTGCAACGCCGTGGCGCCGGGTCCCATCGCCGAGACGCCGGGCCTCGAGAAGCTGAGCGCCTCGGTGCGAAGAAAGCGCATGGGATCGCCGGGGAGGGGCGCTCGACTCAGGTGGAGGAAAAGAGATCTCTTGGGATTGGATCCCTGCCAGGCTGGTAAAGTGTAATTCGATTGAAACTTAAACACATCCGCAAGTTGCAGACTCAATGTTCAGTAAGTTTGCATCAGTACCGTAGTACCAGTCCATCCCAAAGATGAAGGTGATTGCTCAGTGTTTTTGGAGATTCGACTTTAATAGCTCTGTTCCACGGCACTGAATGGGAAAGTCAGCCACGTGCAGCTCCCTTGGTGTCCAGGCGAGCTGGTACCAAGGGAGAGATTGCCTCTGCTTGCATCTACTTGTGCCTGAATCGTTGCTTGGCGGTCCGTCCTCTTGGCCTTTCGCGATGATGGATACATCCGACCGCCAACATCCGACTGTTTCGTTGAGCCTCAATAGGCTACATCACTGGGCAAACTCTCCCGGTGGACGGCGGCGAGTGGTTCGGCAAGAAGCCCATGATGCCCAGGGAGGTCGTGCGGCTTGGCCAATGGTTGCCGTGGTCAAACGTCTGGGCTGTCTCTGCTTCTGAGAGGTCTTCACATCGATGGCCTCCAACCTAATAGCGATGGCCTCCAACCTAATAACTGTCTGTAACATACCTTAATTAAGTTGGCAGCAGAGGTTGGAACCCAAAACTGACCTCTTCGATTTGTGATTCGCAGACCAAGTCAGGCAAGCCAAAGAAACTTATGCTTGGAGGGACGATGTCTGCTGAGGTCCCAGATCTCTCGCGGAGTTGAGAAGCAGTCTCGGTCCATGGGGCCTGGAGCAAAATCGAAGTTGTAGCTGGTCCAAAGGGACAGGCGGACAGGTGGCATTGACCTTGCCCTCCTGAAAGAACTGATGTCCAAGTGATCTACTGTACCCCTCCAAAAAAGCGTCCGAAGCCCCCACGGTGGATTTTCTGTGAGCTCGGGCAATGCTCTGCACTTGGCACGTTTGGTGTAAGTCGGGCAGCCCTTGAGCCTTGACTCAGTGAAGGTCAGCTGCGCGGAAAACATATTTTTGGGTGGGATTGCCTCAACCTCCGAGGGTGTGGAGCACGGGAGATTCTGGTTTTCTCTCACACAACTAGTGCTGAGCACACACAGCGTGCTGTTTGCTGATCGCGCACGACCAGATTCATTTCAATGAACCGAGTTTGTGAAGTGCTTCATGTATGATTGGGAAGAACAGCATGGTAACAGCAGGATTCACTCATCGCCTGCTCCGCCAGGCGAGAGGACAAGTCTGGAGCTTACTGGGGCTCGGTCGCTGCTGGTCGCTGCTAGGCTAGGGAGGTCGAAGACGAAGACGTTCAAAGGCCAGCCACGTCTTGTCACTAGGCTCGTTTCGTGCCGCTCTTTGCTCTCCGCTGTCGGTTGCTCCGAGTCACGGCCGTGGACCGCTCGACACTTCACCGAGAAACAAGTGGGAGCGCCGAGCTCCACTGGCACCTCGACACGTGGCAGAGCTGCAGAAAGAAGGAGATGAAGAACGAACGAACGAAGCTGCACAACCGGTCTGACGTGGTCTGACGGTCTGTTTCTTCTTTTATTTTTTTTGCATCCTTTAACATCCAGTCCTCAAAGATCCTGAAAGAGATCAACGGAGCCTTTTTGCTCTAACTGTACATTTCAGGCTCCGCATTTTTTCATTGTAAAACGAAAGAGGTGTCTTTCTTGGTGTCACGGGGTCAATGAGCCGCAGCTTGGTGACACTGGGTGATGTGCAGGACTCAAGATCATTGTTCAGCCCTGCACGCGGAGAGTTTTTACAGATGCGGAGTATGAGGAGATGGGCATGGAGTGCTAACTACTTGATTCATTGATGCGTATCAATCTTATTCGGTTTGCATATTTCACTTTTTGGAAGTTGCGCTACAGCACCTCAAGGGAAAAGCCGGTACCAGACATCAACTTCAACTTGCAGCGGGTGGTTGATCCAATATTCATCAATCTCTTCCCATGACAATGAGGTGTTTTTCTTGATGTGGAAAAAAAAACATCAAAGAAAAGGACAGAATCAAGAAAAACACCTTCAAGAAACCAAGAAAGCTCCACATCAAAACCTTCTAAGAACCTGCTCTCCTCCGCTTCTCCTCCGCTTCGATCCGAGGAGGCTGGAGCTGAGGTTGGAGGGTTGTCGTGCGCGCAGCGCTTTGGAGTTCGACCCAAAAAGATGACAGGCTTCTTGTTACTAGTAGCGATGCACTTGTTCCTAATAGCTTCTTGTTACTACTAGTAAGGCACTTGTTACTAGTAGCGATGCACTTGTTCCTAATAGCTTCTTGTTACTACTAGTAAGGCACTTTGGAGTTCTGATAGACTCTCACTCCCAGTCAGTTTCACTGAGCAAACGGGTTTGAAGAGAAGTCCCGTCATCGACTCCATGCAGCCCGACGCGTCGGGACTTCTCGAAGCCCCCCTAAAACAGGCGAAAAAGAACTGATGGGGCTCAGCGATCTCCCGCAGGTCAGGGAAGACCTGTCTGAATGCTCCACCATTCTTGCTGTGAAGGAGAGCAGTTTTTTCTTCATAGAGCACGGTGTTTTTTTTTTCAGTCAGGGACAACGTCTCCACAAAAACCTCGCGAGAAGAACACCTGCAACGTGCAAGCGCGTCCGTGAAAACCGCCAATGCTCTTTTTGCAGGATCAGAAGGGATAGCCATTCAGTTCATCCACTCTGACCTACATAGTGCTTATTCACCCTTTAGCAATATTTATGTACTTTAGCCGCCAGACAGGAGCAAGCCATGTACAGGGGGTTTTGGCTGCATATGATGCTTTTTGCACGTTTTGGACCGTGGCTTCACTTTGGAAGCCCATCCTGGTCTTTCAAGTGATGTGTTTTTGGTTCAAGAACCAGCGCATCAATGTTTTCCTGATTCTCCCTGACAAGTGAGCCCAGATCCTTGCTTAACGGTGGAAAGGGACACACGCCAGCGTTTCCCAGGAGGTTCCCGTCGAGTTGCTGCTCCCAGGCTTTGCAAAGAAAGGGATCCTTTGGAGCACGAGAGTTGCATCATCTTATATTTATATCATATTGCCTCTCTCAGACAAATCCATTCGGTCTAGTCATTGGAGAGGCCGAACATGGTGCTTTTTCTCTCATACCATCAAGGCCCAGCATGGCCCTCGGCCGGTCGATTCTGCTTGCGACAGATCTCGTCAAAGCTCAAATGGAAAGACCGAAAGATCTTCTTGTTCCAAACATATTCAGATTGACATGATTGAGCGAAATCGAAATCATGCAGACCTTCTTTGAGCGAAATCGAAATCATCCACAAGGATCTTTGAGTGCAATTGCGTTTTATCAGTTGCTTGTCTGCCTGATGTATCCGCCCATTTCTCAGGCCATCAGGCATGCCGTTGCTGGATGCAGCTCTCGAGAAGAAGGTTGGGGTCGAACCGCTGAAGAACCGCTTCGGTTTTAGGGCTTTTGAAGGGACTGTCCAAGCGGCAGTAGGACGGTCGGCCAGTACCCCGAGAAGCGCCGGGCGCAACCAACGCGAGAGTGAAATGATTGGGTGTCTCTAAGTTACAATACACACACATTGTATATACAGTAAATAGTTATAACTACGGAGAGGTATATGAGAGGTGATTGATCTGTTTTGAATGGACGGCCGCTTTGTTTCTTTTTTGGACTGACCAATGTCACTGAAAGTTTGAACAACAACTAGATGGATTGAATAGATAAGCATAAGCCGGCCAACTCGACATTGAATGTTGCATGAGTTGGTCAATAGTTGTAGACAAGGCTATTTTATGAGAATTCTTGAAGCAATCGCGCTGAAGACAATGAGTGGGAATGAATGTGGTTCCTACAGAGATGCATCTCTTGTAATTATTCAAGGCATCGTGCTGTTCCTTGTGCACTTCATCATTTTGTTGGATTTTTTTTTTAAAAAACCTGATGAGCCAGTGGGGATAAATGTGGTTTCCTACAGACATGCATCTCTTGTGTGCAAGGCATCATGCTTTTCCTTTTGCACTTCATGGTCCTGATCGAGTGATTGTTTTTGTTAAAAAGTTCTTGTTTGATCAAGTTACTCATCACAGGTCTGACGGTTTTCCTTTGTGTTTGCTTTAAAGCAACCACGCTGAAAACACGGTGTGGACGAAATGGTTCGATTAACTGACGAGCCAGTGGGAATGAATGTGTGGTTTCCTGCAAAGTGATACCGTCTGTACGCAAAGCACCGTGCTCCATTTTGGCACTTGATGGTTGAGAAGCCTTTGTGTAATCAAGTTACTCATCACAGGTCTGACGGTTTTCCTTTGTGTTTGCTTGTTGGACATCTGAGTGTGTGCAAGCTTCTTGGAACCACTACAAGCGGCAGCAGAAATAGAGAGCATCTATGAAAGCAACCACTGGCTGAAGCCTGACGATACATGGATCGACTAGCTGACTTGCTGCCATTTGATTGAGATTTGACGGCATAGCATGTGCGCCGAGCATTCTCTTGAGTTAGAAGAAGATGTTTGATGGGATGGCATGGCTGTGATGAAGCAAAACTTCGCTGAAAGGCTGAACGACAGTGTGGATTCAATATGGTTCGATTAGCTGAGTTTGCCAACTCAACATGTTGCACGGGCCGGCTGTAGCTGGTGCTTGATTCGTTGAAACGTCGTAGGCCGGTGTGTTTGGCTCTCTGATGAGAACCTTTAAAGCAACCACGCTGAAAACACGGTGTGGACGAAATGGTTCGATTAACTGACGAGCCAGTGGGAATGAATGTGTGGTTTCCTGCAAAGTGATACCGTCTGTACGCAAAGCACCGTGCTCCATTTTGGCACTTGATGGTTGAGAAGCCTTTGTGTAATCAAGTTACTCATCACAGGTCTGACGGTTCTTGCTTTGTGTTTGCTTGTTGGACATCTGAGTGTGTGCAAGCTTCTTGGAACCACTACAAGCGGCAGCAGAAATAGGATGAGAGCATCTATAAAAGCAACCACTGGCTGAAGCCTGACGATACATGGATCGACTAGCTGACTTGCTGCCATTTGATTGAGATTTGACGGCATAGCATGTGCGCCGAGCATTCTCTTGAGTTAGAAGAAGATGTTTGATGGGATGGCAAGGCTGTGATGAAGCAAAACTTCGCTGAAAGGCTGAACGACAGTGTGGATTCAATGTGGTTCGATTAGCTGAGTTTGCCAACTCAACATGTTGCACGGGCCGGCTGTAGCTGGTGCTTGATTCATTGAAACGTCGTAGGCGGGGGTGTTTGGCTCTCTGATGAGAACTTTTAAAGCAACCACGCTGAAGACAAGGTGTGGACGAAATGGTTCGATTAACTGACGAGCCAGTGGGAATGAATGTGTGGTTTCCTGCAAAGTGATACCGTTTGTACGCAAAGCACCGTGCTCCTTTTTGGCACTTGATGGTTGAGAAGCCTTCGTTTAATCAAGATACTCATCATAGGTCTGACGGTTTTTGCTTTGTGTTTGCTTGTTGGACATCTGAGCGTGTGCAAGCTTCTTGGAACCACTACAAGCGGCAGCAGAAATAGGATGAGAGCATCTATAAAAGCAACCACTGGCTGAAGCCTGACGATAGATGGATCGACTAGCTGACTTGCTGCCATTTGATTGAGATTTGACGGCACAGCATGTGCGCCGAGTATTCTCTTGAGTTAGAAGAAGATGTTTGATGGGATGGCATGGCTGTGATGAAGCAAAACTTCGCTGAAAGGCTGAACGACAGTGCGGATTCAATATGGTTCGATTAGATGAGTTTGCCAACTCAACATGTTGCACGGGCCGGCTGTAGCTGGTGCTTGATTCGTTGAAACGTCGTAGGCGGGGGTGTTTGGCTCTCTGATGAGAACTTTTAAAGCAACCACGCTGAAGACAAGGTGTGGACGAAATGGTTCGATTAACTGACGAGCCAGTGGGAATGAATGTGTGGTTTCCTGCAAAGTGATACCGTTTGTACGCAAAGCACCGTGCTCCATTTTGGCACTTGATGGTTGAGAAGCCTTTGTGTAATCAAGTTACTCATCACAG